GCGTCACAGCTTGAACATGTGGGATTTAGTATGTTCCTCCCCTAAGCTAAGATCCCAGTTTCTCCCCCTTTTACCTATCATGCACAATCCTTTATTCCCCCCGGGGTGAAGACCAACCAGAATCCTTTAGTTGGTGGACTACCCACCATTTTTTGCTTGTACACCATTTTCTCTCCTATTGCAGATTTCCAGAATGGAAAACACTGAGGGAATGTCATGCTATACCCTCATCAGAATAATTTTTTTTGCTACCTGCAACTGACAGGCAGACAGAAGATCACTTCTCTCATGAGTAAGACATCATTTTGAACATGTTTGCTTACATTCCCCAGGCTCAACTGGTCTCATTTCTCACTTGTACTCTTCTTTGAATTCTACTCTCTCTCCCCTGTTCTATATAGGTAACTGGAACGAAAACTTGCCTACATTGTCTGAAACCTTGGATTAGGAGGATTGGAGGGGGATCTGGGCTTGTATACCTAAATGCTCTTTTAATACATCTATACTGAAGTCTGCTTATAAAGTCTGTATGCGGTGGTACTAAGTTCCTTCACAAATAGCAAAGGCGAACCCAATGTATAGTGATCAATGCTTCCAGGGATGTGGCTAAACAGGTGACGTCCATGTGGATAAAAGGGGCACATCACTTGATATAAGGACTGGATAAAGTTTGATCACTTGATGATAATACTTTTTTTTGTGTTCAATGTAGATGGAAGCATAGCCCTGTCTAGCAGGGGAGGAGATGTAATATTTTTCTGCTGTAGTTCACTTACAGGTCTCCTCCCCAGTCTAACCTTCGGAGTGAATATCGAAAAAAGAAGCAGCAGACGGATGAGCTCATCTCTCTGTCACTGTGATCTATCCTCCTATCAGCATGATCCTTGCACTGCAGCCCAACTTATTGGCTCCTTATGCTGCTTCTCCCTTCTCTGTTTTGAGATCTGCTGTACAGGGACTGCAAGAGGCTGATACCATGCAGCTCTATACAGCTCTATATTACATAGTAACATAGTATTTGAGGTTGAAAGACACAGGTCCATCAAGTTCAACCTATTGTGCGTGTGTATGTGATTGTGCATGTGTATGCGTGTATACGGGTCCCTGTGTGATCTTGTTTTTAAAAGCACCTGTACCCCTGTATGTTATGGTCTCTGAGGAAGGTAACTAAATACTTTTTGAATGACTCAGTACTCTCAGCTGATACCACTGCTCGTGGCTGCGAATTCCAGATTTTAATAGCTCTGACTGAAAAGAAGCCCCTACGCCCTTTGTGGTTAAATCTTTTCTCCACCAGTTTTAGGTATTAATATTCATTAATATATGTATTTTTTGGTTTAGTCAGGCAATCTAAGTATCTGAATTTGACCTGGTATCAGTCTCTTGCTGTCCTTGTACAGCATGGCTAGAGTGAGAGAGGAAAAAGTAGCACAAGTAGCCACTCAACTCATGTGCTGACAAGAAGCATGCTGATAGGTGAAGAAATCAGTGACAGAGAGATAAATTTAAATTGACATTAAACGCTCTCCCACCTAAATGCTGCTGTAAGCACTCACCCTATTTGATGCCTCTTGATCCAATCATCTTCTTCCTTCCACTCGTTTGTGACAGTCCCACCAGCGTTGGTGCCAGTCTCTGTTCCACCGCAGACTCTTTGTGTCCCACGAAGTCTGTCCAGCGTGCGCGCTCCCGGCTGCGTCCATTCACTGTCATTGTGTTTTCTCCCCCTCCGCTCTACTGCGCATGCGCCCACACACTTCCTGCTTCACAACTATTCGGGGGCCGTGAGTGCTTCAGCCATGAGTGAGCGGCACTAGAACAGGTAAGTTGTAAGGTATTTGCCTATTTTTAATTTTTTTTTAATCATGGGGCCTATATATACTGCTTGCTAGCAGTAGATATAGGCCCCAAAATGAAAGACTTTAATTATACTTTAAAACTATACTGCTTCTATTTTCACTGTTCAAACACAGGGTGGGGTGCAGAGGAGGTGAGTTGAATGATGTTGGCAGTCAGACTGAATACATCTAGAGGTTAAAAAAAAAAGGAAATGCTTTGAAGGACAGCTATGGATTTAAGGCGAATATTGCAGCCAAAGCTTTTTTTTATTTTTTCATCAGCTATTAGCTTTTATCAACAAAATCCATTGACTTTAACTAGGCAGTACACAAGGCAGCACAGAGGCTGTATTTTACCTGCTTTGCATTTCTTTGGACGCACCATGTCCTACTGAGGTGCATTTAAACTGCATGCAAAGCATGTAAAACACAAAAACACAGCCTTTTCTTGTTAAACACATTGTTATGGAATTTAAAATAGAAAAAGCAGCATTTGATAATGCTTGTTGGCTTGAGCCCTTATTGTTGCTACCCTAAGAAAGGTAGTAACTGTGGAATTACCTTGCAAGTATAATTACTGATGAATCAACCCAAATTCGAGCTGTGGGTGGCCTATCTCACCACCAAGTTCGACAAACTCTGACTGAAAAATGGAATGGACCAGATGGAAAATTATCGCTCGAATAGTGACTACATCCATATTCATGTATTCAGACCTCTGTGGGTGCTGACAGACTAGATACAATAGCCAGCACAGGAGATTCCTCCATCCAGGCTGTCTAGCATTGAGAGTGATTGGCTTGAGTATGGCTTGCCTTACTCTGTAATTCCTTCCTGGTATCTGTCTGTCATTCCAAATATGCCTGCTTTCTGTGTCAGTACAGAAGTCTAATGTTTGTTCTCATTTATTTGTGCTTGTGTATAGTCCTGTCTTTAATACCACCACATGCTCAGGTACAGGAGGGATTTGTCAAGTGGTAATTCCAGGAGTCATGCCTGTAGCTATCAGAGTCTTGCAATGCCTCATGGGATTTGTAGTTTCATCACAGCTGGAGCGCCGAGGTTTCTTACCCCTGCCCTGAGCAGAAAAAATGATCTAGACCATAATCCCCTCCTGAATTCCTGCATAGGTATGATGTCTGTACCCTCTCTGTACTGTTGTCCCTGGTCTGATATCTGGCTGGAACTTTTGGCCTCTGATTTTACTACCTAGCCTTCCTGTCAGTATACCATATCTCCTATAACCTATGTCCCAAGAGTCTTAGAGTCCTAAGGGTCTTTAGCTTTCTAATTAACCAGTACCCGCCTCCTGGCTATTACAATGTTATTACAGCTACTAGGAAAAAGTGTATTTACTGTAAAGCAATAGGAGCTTTAGCTGTTTGGCTCCTCCATGAGCTATGCTATGTATAAACTTGCAGTTTTGGAGGCAGTAGGCATGGACACAGTTTTGTAGGGTTTTAGGTAGTGAATTTGGATATGCACAGCTCTCCCTTTACATAGAAAGGACGTTTTTATTGTTTATTGATTTTAATTGTTTCTGCATTTAACACAATATCTTGGTGACAACTAGACTGAATTTCTTTAAAGCAAGTCTTCCCTTTGCCAATGTTTACAGAAACCACTGCAAAATATTAACTTTTTTGCAAAGTTTAGCTGTTGACCAATGACAAAAAAGTCACAATTTGCATATCAGTAACAACACTCTTTAGGTTGCATACCTCCCAACTGTACCTCATTTAGAGGGACTGTCCCTCATTTGCAACCAAATCCCTCTGTCCCTCTTACCTCCTCAGTTGTCCCTCTATTTGGTCTGATGTACAGACATGTATAAAAAAAATGTATTTACCTAATTTAAACATGTTATTCTGCACTAAAACCTTTATCTTATTGTTTGTCCTGTGTAAGCTATTTGAAAACCTTAATAAACATTTATTAATTTAAAAAAACCCTTCATCTTACCTCTTAATTATCTTGTTTGATTTTTCAAAGAGCCAGCATAATGGAAAATCAATGGTGAAAAAAATAACAATTCTGCATTTAACCAATCATTTTTTACATACAAATGAGTCTGCCTAACTGGGTTGGTGTGGCAGGAGTATGTCCAGTGCCTAAATACATTGTGCTGGAATGTGTCCCTCTTTCTCATCTCATAAAGTTGGGAGGTAAGTGAATGCATTAGAAACAACTGATGGAGCAGATTATGGTAACACAACGTTTACATGCTCGGGAAATGTAAAGGTCTGATTTAGGTTTATTTTTCTTATATCAGCATCATTTGTTGCATTTGCCATAATTCTTCCCTGCTGTAAATTATGTTTGTATTGCAATGTTGTTAGGGGGGAAGCTAAGCAAAGACAACATGTATTTACAAGCTTAAAATGTAATATGGACCCGTACTCAGGAAGGCAGGCACAGTGGTAGGTGAGGTAATATGGGGACAACTGGGGACAAAAGGCCATCAAATCAAAACCAGTCTGGCAAGAGCAATGTATGGCATGAAATTACTTTGTCTGATAGTAGATGACCCAAAGTTGAACTCATAACAAAGGTTAGTGTAATCCTAAATGCATAATAGCGGCAATGGAACTTCGCCTTGAAAACAGATAGCCATGTAATTTTATAGGATTGTTAGGATAAAAAGACTGTAGAACAGTTGCATCAAAATTGTACCATTTAAGCACATATTACCACTGACTGCAGTGAATCCAGTTACAGAAACAAGCTGCATTACCACAGTGACCAATGGGAGCACTTCTAGCAGTAGTTGGGTGGTGTATGGAACCTAGTTGGACCAGAAAACAGTGTGGGAATAATCTCAGAGATCTTCCAGCCGGCTGGATTCTCCATACCGCTAATTATTTGATTGTTCAGATCTTCAACTAACAATTGACTACTTCATTCGCTACACATGTGCATTATCACAACGATTTAAGAGCAAAGTTAGTGTGACACCTCGTAATCTGAGATTGAATGAAGAATGGGCGTATCTCCTATCTGATTATCAGATCTGCCTATCCATAGTGAAGGCTTTCAATAGGAGATGGATGAGATAGAATAATAGATATACACATGAAAACATGGCAGTGTATACCTGTCCTGTGATAAGTACCATACAGTGTCTGATAGCCATCACATATAGTAGTGGGATCGTGAACTTACCCAGAAGAGAACCAATGAATATAATAACTTGAATGCTGGTGGTGAAATGTCTGTAGCTCAGCCCATCGCTGCTGCTGCTGCGGTTGCTCCACAGGACTTGAGAATGAGACACGTTCCTAATTTCCAGTGCCCCAGCCTGATAGAAGCCAAGCTCACTCCTGTTTCTGAGGATCAGGCTGCCATTATAACCCATGGCGGTTCTTCTGCCACCTACTGCATGTGTTGCACTGTCAGGGTTTCTCCAGCGGCTGTTCTCAGCATCATGGCTCTGAAGCCCACAGCTCGGTACGCTCCCTGGCTTTGTGCGCCCATCTCAGAATAATTACCTGACAAGTCCAGATAGCGTGCATTTTTTTTTCCTTCAGCCAGTCTTACTCTGGCTCTTTGTATGGCAGGAAGAACATAAGCCTCTCTCTCTGCTTTTCACCCCCAGCGAACATCTCCAAAACAAGATCATGTCAGATGTCGGTGAAAAAGGAGGGGGGGAGAAAGAGCTGACCCTGAATCTCATTGCTCCTCTTGTCCCTTTCTGTGAATCTCCAACACAGGCTCCCTCTCTCCACCTCTCTCTTCTTGTTACAGTCACCGATTCTGATTGGGAAAGGCAACTGAAAGCGTAATCAGTCTTGCAGCTTGATGGCGGGGAACAAAAGAAGAACAGCCTTGAAATGAAATGTCTCCCTCACCTAGTCTAGAAATGCAATGATTGCAGTGGTATGAAAACGCAGCATAGGCTCATTAGCGACTGAGAGCATCAGTATACAGACAGCCTTCATCTACACCCAGTTCACAATGAAGCCTTATCCATTTCAGACTTTATATTTCTTCTGCAATAAAGATGCAATCCCATCATGCCTCAAAAATAAGAGAAATGAAATGTACTAGACAAATGCTGGGTATTAGGAGAATGGTAACTAAACTGTTCCAAGGTTGCTTTCTTATTGACTGTCATGTTATTCTTAAATACTGATCAGTTCTTTTATATTGCCTTTCATTGCAATTCTACCTAGGCCTAGTGGTTAGCAGAATGGCATCTATCCTGGGCAGAAATATGGGGGCTGGGGTAGGCGCAACATGTCCAGGATTATATATGGGAAATAGTGCCAAATGTGCAAATAATAATAATATGCACTGTTCTACATTCTGCTTAGTGTCCAGCACAGAAATTTCAAAGCTTATGTGTGTGATATCGATTACATATGGAGGAAAGGTACATGGATCAGAAAACAATCTCAAAGCCCTATGGAAGATAAGATAGTGCTTACAAATACATTGGAAAACAAAAAGATTTATGAAATTCACACAATTCCAATGTCATCACACCTAACACTACTGTTTTTTAAATATACGTTTCACTTAGCAGGAACAACCGTTTATGCAGGAGGCTCAATTCATAAAGCTAAGGGTGGTGATGCATATTATTTGAAAATTTAAAGGGAATGGCACAATGTGATTGTAGCATGTAATATGAAAACAATCCATTCAGTTGGTAACCGATGTGTAGACCCATACATTATATAGTTGGTGGTAGGACTCAGGCATTATGCACATGGGTGCATTTGGCTGTATAACTTGAAAAGCAGGTGTATTTCCACACCTGGGATACACAGTTGCGATGTACAGGTGCCCGTACTAGTGAGTGGGTGTAGGCGGCTATACGCCCATTTACACCACTCTTCGGTAAACCCACATGCCCCTGGATGCAGCCTACAACCATTATCCTGGCAGATATTTTTTTTTTTATTTTATAGTTTACAGAATGAAGGAAATTGTACAATCAGATGTTACAGTGTATGGTCAACTTAAAAGACCAGGATAAGGGTGCTTATTTCCAAAATAAGTGACAAGTTTTAACAGCCTATGAATCTAATGAGATTTACAAATTACAGTCACATGGCTACAAATAAAGATTCTTATGTTTGTTTTAAAGCATTGTGAAGAAAGCTTATAAAGTCTAAGAAGACGGTGCAGTTTTCTGCAGCAGGAACAACGCACAGAAGGCAGAGGGAGGGGCTTAGGTGAAAGGGGTGGGGCTGAGTATAAATAGGACACTGATTCATTTATGACAAGCCAGTTGACAATCTGTGTGCTGGTTAGTCTGCTTCCACTGTGGCGGCCATGTTGTGTACATTGGTGCTCCCATTACTACCGTAGTGTTGTCACATTCATGTGTTTGCAGCAGCCCTGTGTATTAAAGTCTAAACCATTCACATTCACATGTGAGGCGGAGAGTCTCCATTTTCTACCACCTGTTTGTTGTCTCGGGAGTAGGGATGAGATTCAGGTTTGGGACGCTGGGTTGAGGTTCGTGGACATGATGAACTAATGCGTCAATTCACCCACCTCAATTAATTGTAACTATAATACAATGCAATGGGCTTTCAACTTTGAGAAAAACAATATTGTGCCGAGCTAATAATCATACATATCTAATAAATTGAAACATATATAAATGAGTCACATATATGAGACCCCTGATGAAGTCATGTGTTTTGACATAACGTACGTAGGGCAGAGCTTCTGATGTCACTGCACTGAGCTGAGCCGGACGAACAGGTTTTGTTATCGCTTTGCTGCCATTTGCCCTGCTGGTCTGATCCAGCAATAACCAATGCCTGTACTGTTTACACCATTTTATTGGACGTTACGCACTATGTCCTTGTCCTTTTTCTCTTTCCACCTGGATTTATACTGGTACCTGTGATCTGAGGAGACCTTATCGCCTTTTCTGTGCATGGGCTTCCCTCCCCCATTTAGGCCTGGTTTACACCTGTACGTTTTGTAGCGCGTTCAACACTCTATGAACGCTCTACAAAACGTACAAACTTGAAAATCCCATTGTTTTCTATGGGTATGGTTCACACCTTTCCGTATTTCAGCCCGTCTGAACGCGCTACAAAACGGCCTACGCCCAAAGAAGTACATGTACTTCTTTGGGGCGTTTTGGTCTCGCGTTTCCATTGGGATACAGCCAAGTAGCCCTCGGCAACACGCGTTTGTCGTGCGTTTTTTTTAACCGCGAATCGCATTAAAAACACGCGACGCGAAACGCGCGACAAACGTGCATATTCAATACGCCTAGGTGTGAACCCAGCCTAAGAAGGTAAAAAGCGCATTTGACCTTGCTCTGCGGGTCTACCTCCCCAGGTGAGCACTCACTTGTTGTCATCACTCACTGGGTGGAGGTGAAGGTCTGCCTGCATTGTGTGATTATCCTTACCTGGGAGTTATATGCAGATTGGCTACGAATCATCTGAGGATTTTTTTTGCACAATCACCATTGTTTGCTTTTGTTTTTTCCTTGGGACTTTTTTTTGTCTATATTGCTTTTTTGTCTTTGTGTAGATATTTTCTATGCCTCATTTGTTTGAAGGCTCATATATTTGACTCATTTATGTATGTTGTCAGCTGGCAGAAGGGCCAATAATGGGAGATTTGTTATGTGCCAACCCATTCACTGGCAAAGGGGGGGGGGGGGTGCACAGAGCAGCCATAGTGTCTTGGAAGCTTGGAAGCTGTTGCAGGGAGAGGATAAGGAAAGCTGTCAAACTGTATAGGGAAAATTGGGGTCAGCTAGGAAACTGTACTTTAATTATGATTGCCAGCTCTTTATGCAGTCAACCCCATTGCTCCCTATTATCGGGGGCATTATTTATTTATTGTTTGGTTGATTTGTGATCAGCAGTCACTTAATTATGTTGTCCCATCTATAGCAAACTTTTTAATTTTTTAATTTTGCTGCACAACATTTTTGTTTCAGGGAACATTATCTTGGGTTGTTTTTTTTCATTTTAGGGATATATTGTTATTTTATTGTATGGTGTTAGGGCATTTATTTTAGGTTAAACTGTTTTTTTGCAGCAAGACTTTCCCTTTACAAAGTGTGCTTTCGTTTCTGGGGATATTATTTTTGGGGTTTTATTTAAAGTAGTATTAAACTTTCAGACTTTCTTCAATAATAATGAATCCAGATCAAACAAATATACATTGCCCAGCAAAGTATTTATTTTACATTTTGTGCCCAGCTACTTTCAGTCATCATGTTTCCAAACAGCTCCAACTCTCTCAGCTTCCCTGAACTTCCTGTCCAGTAGAAGATCACAAGAAACAGAGCAATCTCTTGCAGCTGTCCATCTACCAGCTTGGAGAAGGGAGCAGAGGAGTGTCTTGCCTTGTTTTGTCTGTGTTTTTCTGGAGACACACACAGCTTATTTGCACACACAAGGGTGGCTCCATAGGACCCTGCAAGGGGAAGGAGTCTCCCTAAAACAGGATATCTGTGCCAGTGCTCTGGAGACCATCTGATTCTGCAGAAAACAAAAACATTTAAACATCAAGGAGCAGCATCCATTGTATGTGATTTGATCAGCATATAAAATGGCTTAAAAACATTTTGACCTTAATATAACTTTAATATAAGGATATTTTGTTTTTATTGTATGTCGATAGAGCCTTTTTTAGATTCAGTTGTTTTGTTTTGTCTTTTTGCTGCACGGCTTCCCTTTAAAAAAAAATTGGGACATTCGTTTCAAAGGTGGAAACTGACACGAGAAATCCATGTGACCTCAATATAAGTGCACTGGTCTCATAATGGAAGGTGGAAGTGCATGTGTTTCTGCCGGGGGGTGCACAGAGTGAACATGTAAAACGTCAAAAAACAGAATGTGGCGGTAACTGTGACGCTTTAACAAACTTCTGTTGTGCAGTACAACCTAATAGATTAGGAGATAATTTTAACATTGAGGGTCTAGTGACACTTTAAGGGCTCATTCAGATGGGCATGCAGGTCAGTACAACCTACACACCTGTAACAAGACCCGATCCCAGAAGAGACAGGTGCTGCATGTAATTGCGTGCAACAGCCTGTTCTTCCCTATGGGAGGATGTGGCTGCACGCAATTAGACACGGTCACATGCATGCCCGAACCTGCACATCCTTGCACAACACTGTCTGTGTCCAAGTGCGGGCACCCGGTCCCACACTTGGACCAGCACCTGTCCCTTCCAGGATCAGGTCTTTTTACGGGTCCGCATGCCGTGATGGGCATACATCTGAATAGGTTGCATTCAGATGCATGCCCATCTGAATGCATCCTATGGGTACATTTACATTATGTGAGATAGGAATCCTGCTGCAAGAATCCGGCCGCATCTAAAAGAAAAACTTAGGATTCCTGTGGCAGGAATCCATAGGCTCGTAACCACAAATAGTAAACGTAAATAAACACACACAGTCCTTTATTGGAATAAAACACAAACATTGAAAAACATTATTAGGGGCCCCAATATAATGCAACCTCAATCACAATGTCCAGCAATTTAATCCATGTCAACCAAGGCATCCAGCGATGTAAATCAATGTCAATCAAAAGGGCCTTTGACCCGATGATCTTTGAATCCTACACTCCTGTGCCAAAATGACAGCTTTCGGGTGATGTAATTGACCAATGGGGACGATGACAGTCTACCCTCTCTTGCAACGTACCCCTCCCAGTGTTAAAAGGCATGTGACCTCGTCTGGCACATGAAGGGGGCACATTTGTGTTCCCCCCTCTTCCCTGGCCACCCAGGCT